GTAAGGCTTACTGGCCTATAGTTGCACAACTCCTCCCTACTACCTTTCTTGTGAATGAGTACAACATTCGCGAATTTCCAAACTTCTGGGACTACTCCTGTTAACAATGATTGGTTAAATAAATCAGTTAATGCTTTTGCCAGTACACCACTAAGTTATTTTAATAACTTTGGGTGTATCGCATCAGGCCCCGTCGACTTATTTGTCTTTACTTTTGACAGTTGAAATAGTACCTTTTCCTCTGTAAACTCACATGTAACACATGGCTCATTTGTCCTTTTTCCTAACCGAGGCCCCTTTCCTTAATTTATATCTGTAAATATTGAACAAAAATATTAATTGAGGCAATCAGCTAGACCTTTATTCTCGTCTACATATCTTCCTTATTTTGTTTTTAATCTAACTAATCCTTGTTTTACTTTATTTTTCCCATTTATGTACCCCTTTTTACTGACTGTGCTATTTTCTCTTCTGTGTGTGCTTTGAAAGCTCTTATAACTTGCTTAGCCTCTTGATGATGTAAGTAGGTGATGAAAAAATGCTAGTAATGTGAGCAAGATATTACTTTGCTGCAGAGGGATTTAGATAGACTGGGGGACTGGGCACTCAAATGGCAGATGAAATTTAATGTTGAAAAATGCAAAGTTATGCACTTTGGCGTAAAGAATACACAAGCAATGTATACCCTTAATGGAAGCGAATTAGGGATAACAACACATGAAAAGGACTTGGGAATTGTTATAGACAACAAACTATGCAAACAATGTGCAATGTCAATCAGCAGTGGCCAAGGCCAGTAAGGTATTGTCATGCATGAAAAAGGGCTTTCATTCTCGGGACAAGAATATAATTTTGCCTCTTTATAAATCACTGGTAAGACCCCATATTGAATATGCTGTGCAATTTTGGGCACCTGTTCTAAAGAAGGATATTATGGCACTAGAAAAAGTGCAGAGGTGTGCTACAAAATTAATAAAAGGAATGGAACATATCAACTATGAAGAAAGGTTAACAAATTTAAACCTATTTAGTTTAGAAAAACGTCGCCTGAGAGGGGATATGATTAGATTATACAAATATATTCAGGGCCAATACAAACCATTGTGTGGAAATCTATTCACAAACCGGACTTTACATAGGACACAAGGCCATGCGTTTAGACTGGAAGAAAGAAGATTTCATCTAAGGCAAAGGAAAGGTTTTTTTTACTGTAAGAACAATCAGGATTTGGAATTCTCTGCCTGAAGAAGTGGTTTTATCAGAGTCCATACAGATGTTCAAACAGCTACTAGATGCATACTTGCAAAAACAGAATATTCAAGGATATAATCTTTCAATGTAGGGTAATAACTGCTTGATCCAAGGATAAATTTGACTGCCATTCTAGGGTAAAGAAGGAATTTTTGTCCTAGCTTGTTGCAAAATTTTGCTTCAAACTGTTTTTTTTTTTGCCTTCTTTTGGATCAACAGCAAAAAACAAATGTGAGGAAGGCTGAACTTGATTGACGCAAGTCTCTTTTCAGCTATGTAACTATGTAACTATGTAACTACCGTGTTTCCCCGAAAATAAACCCTACCCCGAAAATAAGCCCTAGTCGGATTTTCGGGGTGGGCTGCAATATAAGCCCTACCCCGAAAATAAGACCTAGGCATTGTACCTTTGCGGCGAGACTTCCTTCTTCTGCTGTAGGAGGGGCGTCGCGCAACGTGATGACGACATTTTGCAGCGCCGTCAGTCTGCCTTCACGGATCTTCAGCGGAAGGATCCATTTCCGGGCGGTGAGGCTCCCAGTGGTCGGACTCGGCAAGGAATCTTTGAAATGTGAGTACCGCTAGATATTTTATGTCTGGGATTAATTGAATTAATTAAAGGGGGTGGGGTGAATTAATTAAAGGGTGGGCTGGATTAATTAGAGGGGGGTGAATTAATTAAAGGGTGGGCTGGATTAATTAGAGGGGGGTGAATTAATTAAAGGGGGGTGAATTAATTAAAGGGGACTGGATTAATTAGAGGGGGTGAATTAATTAAAGTGGTGGTGAATTAATTAAAGGGTGGGCTGGATTAATTAGAGGGGGTGAATTAATTAAAGGGGGGTGAATTAATTAAAGGGTGGGCTGGATTAATTAGAGGGGGTGAATTAATTAAAGGGGTGGTGAATTAATTAAAGGGTGGACTGGATTAATTAGAGGGGGGTGAATTAAAGGGGTGGTGAATTAATTAAAGGGTGGGCTGGATTAATTAGAGGGGGGTGAATTAATTAAAGGGGTGGTGAATTAATTAAAGGGGTGGTGAATTAATTAGAGGGTGGGCTGGATTAATTAGAGGGGGTGAATTAATTAAAGGGGGGTGAATTAATTAAAGGGTGGACTGGATTAATTAGAGGGGGTGAATTAATTAAAGGGGTGGTGAATTAATTAAAGGGTGGACTGGATTAATTAGAGGGGGGTGAATTAATTAAAGGGGTGGTGAATTAATTAAAGGGTGGGCTGGATTAATTAGAGGGGGTGAATTAATTAAAGGGGGGTGAATTAATTAAAGGGGGGAATTAATTAAAGGGTGGGCTGGATTAATTAGAGGGGGTGGATTAATTAGAGGGGGGTGGATTTATTAAAGGGGGGGGTGGATTAATTAAAGGGGGGGTTCAATGTACATACCGGTACCGTAAATAAATAAGCCCTACCCTGAAAATAAGCCCTAGTGAGTTTTTTGTGACTAAAATTAATATAAGACCCGGTCTTATTTTCGGAGAAACACGGTATGTAGTAGTGCCTGAATGCAAGTAGTGCTTTATCCTTTTTTAGATGTTTCTCAGTCGGTTTCCTATTCACCATTTTAAATCATGTTTGGCTCTTTCTGTCTGATACGGTAATGAAAGAAAAAACCACAGCAAGAGGGAGAACAAGTTTTCTTTAAAACTTTAACTCCCCAGTCTTTTTTTCCTTTCCTTTTTCTTCTCTCCCTTCCTTTATAATCTTTTTCCTTTCCCTTTTTTTTCTCATTTTCTTTCCTTCTTCCCTTCATCTTAAGCTCTAATACCTTTAATTATATTTTTTTTTTGCCCTTTTAAAAAAAAAAAAAAATACATCTTATATAGGTTTCCTTCCGAGGTTTATTATATTGAGCTTTAGTTGTTTAGTATTTTTAGCAAAAAACAAGGTAATCAGCAGGGGAGAAGCAGTAATAGTGGATCAGGGTAGGCAGACAAAGGATCTGTTTTAACAGAGTATTACTCACAGTATCACCTAGTAGAGACTTCCTAATACTTTAGGCTATTATGGCGTGGTTTGCTGTTAGTAAACCATAAGGTTGTATGTTGCTCTCTACTCTAGTTATGTTGCAATATCTCTTGCTTATTTTCCATGCAGCATGTTTCTGCTTGTGCTGCTGCACGTTATAAGTTATATCATAAATAGTGCCAGCCCTTACTCACGCCAAGATCAGCGTTTACTTGCTTCCGTGTGCTCTATTCTCACTCTTGCAGTCGGGGAGCAGTATCTTCTATACGCTCTGTATTTTCCACGTGTGTGGCAATTTCTTCCTTTGTCTCGCTTCACTCTGCCTCTAACTCTGGTTGGCGGTCTGTTGCAGGTTTTGGCGCCTCAGTCCCTGGTTCCTGGAGCATCAGACGTGCATCCTCACATCATCCTTCCTCCCCTTGCAGGTATTATCGTTTGTTCCAAGCACCAAATCTCAATATCCGAGAACTGACATTTTGTTCTTCTCAGCATGATGTCTGTAATTTGTTTTGATTGATTGATAGGGAGTCAATTAGTTTTACAACTGAAACGGACCTTTGCTTAAAGGGTCACTCGAGGCACCAAAACAACTTAATCTAAATTAAGTTGCCTACAGCAGCAATGTCCACTCCTCAAGGGGCAGCATCTGGCTTCAGAAATTCCAGATTCAGGAAGCATGGAGTGCCGCTGGATAGGGACACCCCTGATTGGCTGAGAGTGGTCTCTATAAGCCAGTCAGTGAATACCCATACACTAAACTGTCTTGGAAAGAAACATACCTTTTGAAATTCTGATGCCACCAGGGGAAGACTGGACATCTCAGCTGGAGTCAACGTTAGGGTTAAACATTTTGAGAATGGTTTACCCCTTGAGATACGAGTGAATCCAGGTACTTCCTAGCACCATAACTACATTTAGATGAAGTTGTTTTGGTGCCTGAAGTGTCCCTTAAGCTCTGCCCATTGTCACAATCTCCATAAACTAAAGTAGTTTGTTTGCCTGTAATTTTAACAGCTAGCCTCCAGGGCTTCACCTATACAAATACAATGTTGCCATTGAAAAGGTGTTTTAAATATTTCTGTTATTAAAATTCTAATAACCACAGCATCATCAAACCACCACAAAAAATAACATGCCATTGAAAAGGATGCTACATTAAAGTAAGAATTAGGAGCTCAAGGGGCATTTAGGGGTTAACTCACATTCCCCTAAATTCCGTTTAACCCTGAGCACCTCTGCCCTCAATCTTTATTTTAGTATTACAGGTACAAGTACAATAGGGGACATAAGGAAAAAAAACAAATCAATGAACAGACAATGGCATTAAGATAAAGGTGATAAAGCTTGTATATAAATGAATTGGAGCAGCAGGGAGAATTGCAAAAACCATACTGTAGCGGAGCTGCAATATTAAATCCCAATATCCCTGCTGGTAGAATAAAGTAATCCAAGAAAAGCGCTGAATGAAGGCAATATCCCAAATCCCCCAGTAACCGGACGAAACACAGTTCTGGGAGTCAACTGAGGTTTTAATCACATGTTCCAGTATTTATGCAGTGCCCCATGCAAGGGGTTTCCTTAATCATTTTACAGGGGTTTTAGTCAGGGGACTGTATGGGGAACTTCACTTGCAAGGACATTTCCCATCAGGCCATACTGTACTGGAGAGATAATTGGCCAAGAATGTATTGATAATCCCATTATCTCTCCGTACAGTAAAACAGGCATTTTAACATTAAAATCCATAACAGGCATAATATATGGTTGAATTGGCCGAATGACCCCTTGTTCAATAGCTGGGACCTGAGCGCACCATCTGGTGAAATACCGCTCAGATCCCTGCTATAGAAAACGAAAGCCATGCGAATATATATTTACACGAACAGTCATGCCAATGCTAGGAAAACTTATACTGGTTAATTTACCAAATGAACAAAGTATCCGAACGGTCTGGAAGTCCAGCAGTGTTCGTGAAGTCGAGTAGCCAATTTTAGTTCCAGGCACTCGACGACCAAACACCGCTGGGCTTTTGGGAGAAAAAGATGTCCGCTGCCACGTGTTCGGCATACGAACGGCGGCCACCGCATATACCTGAATTAACTGTGATACATTGTAACTATCCTTAATAGGAGACACACAACCCCCTGTGTGTGGTCTCCCATTCGGTAGTTTAATTCGTTTCACGAACGGTGGATTTTAACACTGTTCATGAAACTAACAGTTTAACAGCTTATGGCTTTCGGGCAACAAGCATCCGAATGCCATCTACTGCATACACATAAAAATATTACAGCCATTCCATACACATACAAAGGACTAAAATGGCGGTTCTGCCACACATACCAATTGTCATGGTCCAATAGCAGTGAGAGTTAAACCTTTAGAAGGCCAATCATGTGTCAGCAGCATGATTATATGGGGAGAAGCAAACTGAGTCAAAGCTCCCGTATTTTTATAGAGATAAGACGGGAAAGAATGAACCAATAGGGAGAAAGGAGAGTGGAAAGGAAAAAGAAAAAAAGATGAGTACAAGATAAATATTGAAGAAAGGGTGGGGGAGGTTAGGGGGGATTAAAAAGGTAAACCATATTCCCAGGTCTACAGCAAGTCCAAATCATAGGGGAAAGCGCAAACCATAAGAATGGTGATTAACAGGGAGGCACAACAGAGTGAAATCATGGGGGACCTTAGCCATGTAACCCAACCAAGGTATCCAAAGTAGAGGATGCATTTTGCAAACTAGTCATTAATGGCAACTGTTAGTGATTCCACTGAGAATCAATAGCTTTTCACTGCTGGTGGATGGAAGGCACCTGGATAAGGGATCTTGCAGCATTTAGGAGATGTTTAATGAGAGAATCTTATATTTTTAAATTAGGAGGGATATGTAATGGATATATGAAACAGTGGATATTTTTTTGTGTAGGTCCCTCCAAAATGAGGAAATAATAGTGGTACTCTTCCATGGCTATGGTGTGAGTGATGGGAGGGGAGAATCTATGGAGAAACCCTGTGGGTGCGCTACCATCTGATAATTTATCTTTTGGTTTTAGAATGCAGTAAGTAAGAACATAGTGAGTGCCCTTACTCTTTCATGTAGAAAGTCCACATCCATATATAATCCTAGTATTCAAATACTATTTTCTTAAAAACATTTTTTTTAAAGTTCACTGACAATACCACAGAATTGGAGGGGCTGGGGGGAGATAAGAGGCATGGGGGAAGGACAATTTTCACATGGTGGCCCAGTGATTTTTACTTATCATATTTTTCTGTGTGTAAGAAGCCCCCATGTATAAGACGACCCATATTTTTTAAGCTCAAAATTAGAAATCAATATTTTAAACATCAAATAGAACAACTTTGATATTTTAGAGGTAACATCTGAGGAGAACAACACACTCATGCCTCCCCTGTGCTATGGTACTCTGTGAAGTTAATGGCTCTATAGTGCATGCTGGGAGTCTACAGCTCCCACAATACAGCAGGTGGTGTGAGGGCATGCTGGGACATAACAGTAGTATTCCCTCTGCTCCCTGATCCCCATGAGACATTATAGGTAGTATAGGTAGTAATATACTTTTGCAACTCTTCCATTTACAGTGCAATCCATTTGCTTTTCAGTGGCATATTGAGTGAGTGATAGAGTACATGGTGACTTTTCATATATTTGTATCATCTAGCAGCACGTGTAGCTGAATTTCTTCTGATTAAGGCTGGATCAACACATTAGCAGTTCAAAATGCAGAGATTCTCCCTCTCTATCCCACAAAAAACACTATTAAAAAAACACAATATTTAAAAAATATATTTTTTAAATCAATTCTGTGCCACTGTAGGTTTTTTTTCTGGGCATATAGTGTTTGAATGCATAAAATTAAGTGTAATATTAAATAGTACATGTTTTTTGAACAGGCACTGTGTGGTTGCCCAGGGCAATGAATTGTGTAGATTCTTATGCAGTCACCATGTGATTTCTCTGTGATACATGTGGGTATGCCTAATTTGTGAAAGCTGTGGGCATTATTCGCTTTTTAATAATTTTGTGTAAATGCTATGAGAAATGTCTAAATGCTATGGGTATTATGAATGAATGATTTGTGCAGTGTGTGAATTCTTTGACAGGGCCGGACAAATTTCCCGGTGGGCCGCGGCACCTGGGGCCGGGCAAACAAGCTTAATCATCAGGCACATGTCATTTAAATTATTTTCCTCTCAGACTGTGCCAGCCTGTATCAGTCCGAGGGGAGTAAAGAGTGAGGAGCTGGGGGCTGGTGTAGTTGAAATTAGGCTGTCAGTCTCCCAGCACAATGCATGCCCCACCCTTGCACTTAAGCCCCACCTCCCAAACAGAAGCTGCCGACCTCGCTGAAATGAAGAGACCAGACATTGACACCTTCATCTACCAGTGCCAGGTAAGCTTTGTGTGTGTGCTAGTGAGTAAGCTTGTGTGTGTGTTTGTGTGTGCATCTGCTAGTGAGTGAGCTTCTGTGTGTGCATCTGCTAGTGAGGGAGTTTGTGTGTGTACCTACTAGTGAGTGAGCGTGTGTGTGTGTATGCTAGTGAGTGAGCTTGTGTGTGTGTGTGTGTGCCTGCTAGTGAGGGAGCTTATGTGTGTGTGTATGTGCTTGTTAGTGAGTGAGCGTGTGTGCCTGCTAGTGAGTGAGCTTGTGTGTGTGTGTGTGTGTGTGTGCATCTGCTAGTGAGTGAGCTTTTGTGTGCCTGCTAGTGAGTGAGCTTGTGTGTGTGTCTGTATGTATGTGCTTGCTAGTGAGTGAGCGTGTGTGCCTGCTAGTAAGTGAGCTTGTGTGTGTGTGTGTGTGCATCTGCTTGTGAGTGAGCTTCTGTGTGTGCATCTGCTAGTGAGTGAGCTGTGTGTGTGTAGCTAGTTGAGTGTGTGTACCTGCTAGTGAGTGAGCTTGTGTGTGTGTCCTGCTAGTGAGTGAGCTTGTGTGTGTGTGTGTATGTGCTTGCTAGTGAGTGAGCATGTGTGTGTGTGCCTGCTAGTGAGTGAGCATGTGTGTGTGTGTACCTGCTAGTGGTGAGCTTGTGTGTGTATGTGCCTGCTAGTGAGTGAGCGTGTGTGCCTTTGTCTGCTAGAGAGTGAGTTTGTGTGTGTGCCTGTCAGTGGTTAAATTGTGTGTGTGTGTGTGTGCTGCTAGTAGAGTGAGTGTGTGTGTGTGTGTGTGTGTGTGCTGAGTGAGGGGCGTCAGTGTGTGTGTGTGTGTGTGTCTGCTGGTGAGTGAGCATGTGTGTGTGCCTGCTAGTGAGTGAGTTTGTGTGTGTGACTGCTGGTGAGTGAACTTGTGTGTGTGTGTGTGTGTGCCTGCTGGTGAGTAAGCTTGTGTGTGTGTCTGCTAGTGAGTGAGCTTGTGTGTGTATGTGTCTGCCAGTGAGTCAGCGTGTGTGCCTGCGCCTGCTAGTGAGTGAGTTTGTGTCTGTGCCTGCCAGTGAGTTAACTTGTGTGTGTGTGTGTGTGCCTGCTACTGAGTGAGCTTCAGTGTGTGTGTGTGTGTGTGCTAGTGAGGG